ATGTGCAAAGACCCTGAGGTCGGAAGAGCAGGCCTGTGAGGTGTTGCTGACGGAGTGAGCTGTGGCCAGAAAAGGAGGCAGTAAACACTGCTCCCAGAATCTTCTTTGTCTTCCACTTTGAGCCTCCTCTCTTAAAGATTTGTAGTGGTTTCCCCATCCATCATACTTCACATTGAGCTTCAAAGGACCACCTCCAGACTGCCCGCAGATTCCTTCAACCCTTCTCTTTCTCTTGGGTTCTGCGGAGAAAACACATTTGTCAAAAGACTAAAGCAAATAGTTTTGACGTGCGGTTCTGTACCATAAGGGAGGCTATAATGAAGTCAGTCCCAGTTTACATGACTCCAAATGGTTCCATTTAAATATCCCACCCTGTATTTACGTGTCCCTCCCACTTTAGTTGACTGTTTATCTTCCAGTATACGCGACTGTACTTGCGTCTTGGCCTTTATTTAACTGCATCCCTTACTTTCTCCATTCCACACCCTACCATTTACATTTTTCTTTAGGAAATGTAAATATTTATTTACAGTATTAACTTTTACTCTTGCATACCTCTATACATTACAGAGTAAACAGACTGTGATATGGGTTCTAGTCCTGAATTTTCCATAAACTGGTGGTGACCTTAGCCCAGTCATTTAACCTTACCGAGCCTAAAATGTTTCTTTGTAAAGTGAGGGGGTTTACATTTTTGTTTTGTGTTAGCTAGCAGATTTGTATCCAGAATTCTTCTTAAATTCTGTGATTCTGTACCTCTTCCAGCCACCTCCAAGTATTTTGCTTGTATCTTTGTCTTTATACGCCCCTTTCAGAATGTCTTTGTGTGTAGTACTGACTTTCTACATAATGTGCTTTTGTGGGACAGTGTACACAGAATAGCATTTAACAAATGAGAACAAATCACACTACTGGGCTTGAGTTAAAGCTCTCATATGTGAGAACGTGGCTGAGGAATAGGAAGATTGTAGTTGCAGGCCCGAAATTACCATAAACTTTGTTTCTCAAACTAGGTTGTAGGCACCCATCGGGATATACAGAGGTGTGCCAACAAGCACAGGAAGTCCTTCCTTCTGGGACAAGAATTCCACCCAAAGATTTGAGGGAGGGGTCAGGCACAGTGGCTCATGCCTATAATCCCAGCATTTTGAGAGGTCGAGGTGGGCAGATTGCTTGAGCTCAGGAGTTTGAGACCAGCCTGGGCAACACGGTGAAACCCCATCTCAACAAAAAAATGCAAAAATTAACTGGTTGTGGTGGCACACACCTGTAGTCCCACCTACTTGGGGACTGAGGCAGGAGGGTTGCTTGAACCCAGGAATTTGAGGCTGCAGTGAGCCAAGATTGCACCACTGCACTCCAACCTGGGGAACAAAGTGAGCCCCTATCAGAAAAAAAAAAAAAAGATTTGAGGGAGGGAAATAGACTTTAGTATTAAAACAAATGGATATATTATGAAAAGAAGAGAAAGTCATTCAACATCTTGGTATAAAAAGGGAACCCTGGGCTGGACAGCTTTGGGTATACTTCAATGTAAGAGGAGACAGGGCTTTTTTTTACTTCTGTTCTTGGGTTGCTTGGAAATACTTGCCTTATGGGTCATTTGAGGTACGTGCACTTTAATAGGGCAGTGGTGTTAAGTTATCCAGGAAGGGCATTCCTGCGAAATAATGGACATATGTAGAAACTTTAGTTTCATCCATTACAAGAGTTTAAAGGTCCTGAGGCTGAGGGAGAACTAGACCTAACATAAGCCAAAGACCAAATGAGTTAAAGAATCTATCTATATATATATTTTGAGGTAGACTCGCACTCAGCTGCCCAGGCTGGAGTACAGTGGTGCCATCTCGGCTTACTGCAACCACCATCTCTCGGGTTGAAGCCTCCCTCCAGCCTTAGCCTCCCAAGTAGCTGGGATTACAGCCACCTGCCATCATGGCCAGCTAATTTTTGTATTTTAGTAGAGACAGGGTTTCACCATGTTGGCCAGGCTGGTCTTGAACTCCTGACCTCAGGTGATCTGCCTGCCTCAGCCTCCCAAAGTGCTAGAATTATAGGCATGCGCCACTGTGCCCAGCCAAGTTAGAGAATCTTACTGAGGACCCTGGCTAAAAGCTAGGCTTGAACTGACCCAAACACCAGTAAGATCTCTCAACCTTTCAAAGTCCTCAGGTAGCACTCTTGTTCATATCCCTGGCCCTGATACTTACTATGTCATATTTTCTTGTGTACATATGGATTCTCAGCCAGAGTCAAGGAGGTGGTGTGAATTAAGAAAAAGTATCTGATCAAGAGTCAAGACCTTGCTTACTGTGTGACTTTTGGTTACTCTCTGATCCCCAACCTGTTCACCTTTCAAACGGTCCAGTATAACACCTGCCTTGCTACTGAATAGGCTTGTGTGCAGAGCATACAGATCTGCAATGTAAAAGCATTCTGTAAATCATTACACAAAAATCAGTTATTAACTAAGACCCCAAAGAGAAGACGTGCTTATCTCTCACATCCTCTTTCTACTCCCCTCAACCTCTAACTTTTGCCTGGTTGGTTCTGATGACTATTAACGATAAAGATCATAAAATGCTGTACCTGGGCTGACCCTAGGAAAACTAATTTTGTCTTTCTCTACTACCTCCTTTCCCTCCTCTTCTGGCTTTGGTCCCCTCCCCCCCCCCCCCCCCCACTCTCACTACCATTTGCTCCTGGACTGTTTCTTCCCACTGACCCTCCCAGAGAATTTGGATATTGAGAACACTTAAAGAGACAATTTAATGTATATGAAAGAATTCTTAGAGGAATTTCAGACATCAGTAGGGAGTTTTACAGCAATGCCATTTTTCTAGGGGAAATGAACTGGTGTCATTCTGGAAACTTTCTCCCAGAAATGCCAAATGGAATTCCCGATTTGTATTTTTAAAGAGAAATCCATCGCCCAGCCTAAATATCTCCCTGTGTAATAAGCAAGCATCATATTTCATTGAACTCTTTGCTGAATTCACCATGCAACTTCCTCACACTTCTGGTGGGTTTAGGGTGAAGGCTGGCCGCTTCACAGTTGGCATCCCTGAGGCAAACAGCAGGCGAGGGTGAGGAGAAGGAAGGGACAGGTTTGGTATGGATAAGTCTGAGATACTCTGGATAAACAGTAACTTGGCTAGGCCACTCTCCTCATATCTGCCTGGGCCTCAAAGTGGAATGGACGTTTTTAACACACAAATCTTATTGGGCCTCTTTATAATTTTCCCCTCCCAAACACATGAGTTGTGCAAGAAATATCCACACATCCACACCCCACACTAACAAGGCAAAGATTTTGGTTTTTTGCTTTGTGACGAAGTCTTGCTCTGTCTCTCAGGCTGGAGTGCAGTGGCACGATCTTGGCTCATTGCAACCTCCACTCCACCAGATTCAAGTGATTCTCCTGCCTCAGCCTCCCAAATAACTGGGATTACAGGTGCCCCCCCCCCACCACACCCAGCTGACTTTGTTTTAGTAGAGAGGGAGTTTCATCATGTTGGCCAGGCTAGTCTTGAACTCCATGACCTCAGGTGATCCATCTGCCTCAGGCTCCCAAAGCACTGGGATTACAGGCCTGAGCCACCCCGCCTGGCCAAGGCAAAGTTAAGGAGAAATCAGTCAAGGCAGTTTCTTACCGTAGTATCTTTTGTGTGTGTGTGTGTGTGAGAGAGAGAGCCAGAGTCTCCCTTATTCACCCAGGCTGGAGTGCAGTGGTGCGATCTCGGCTCACTGTAACCTCCGCCTCCCGGGTTCAAGCGATTCTCCTGCCTCAGCATCACGTGTAGCCAGGATTATAGGGCCTGCCACCACGCCCAGATAATTTTTATATTTTTAGTAAGAGATGGGGTTTCACCATGGTGGTCAAGGTGGTCTTGAACTCCCGACCTCAGGTGAACTGTCCGCCTCCGCCTCCCAAAGTGCTGGTATTACAGGTATCAGCCACAGCGCTCGGCTTCTTACCGTAATACTTTCATCTTTTGTTTTGTTACTGGACACTTTTACGGTAAGAAGTCAAGACAGTAATAAGGAGGGACATGAGCAGGTGAAGCGGAAATGCTTCCTTTCCATTTTCTCAGGCGGGGGCACTCCATGTCTTCACATCACTGCAAGGGGGACCAAGGAGAATCAGAGTCAAGAAAGGTGAGGGCTGGAGCCCAGGAGCCGGGGGGCGGCCACGCGCGGGAACCACGGTGGGCAGAACCTGGCCGCAGCCCTGGCGGCTCCGCCGCGGCTCCCGCATGTGACGGAAGCGCACGCGGCCCCCACGCCCCTACTGAGGTGGCGGAGGACACGCGGTGGAAACAACCTCCTGGGGGTGGCTCCGCTTCTCGTCTGTCCGAACAGGCTGGAGAAAAGCCCCAAGCAGGCTCCGGCCTCGTCTCAGCAGTTCCACGCCATCGTTTTTGAGGGGCGGGAGCTGAGCGGTAGGGGCGGCCCGAGCGACCCGCTCGAGGCCTGGTTGGCCCGGAGCGCAGGAGGGACGCACGCGCCCGCCACTTCCGGCCCTGGCGGGCGGCACGCGCCCCGCCCCGTTGCCCCGGCGACCGCGGCGGTTTGTTCTCAGACCCCGGCCTCTCCCGCCGCGGTGGTACGGTCCGGGGCGCCAGGCACGAGGCCGCCCGAGCCGGCGCCAAGTGGGCGCCCCGCAGCGGGGGAGGAGGAGGTGAGGCGAACGGCTGGGACCCGGAGGCCGGCCGGCGGCGGCATTTCTGGCGAGGAGCCCGCCTCGCCGCGGAGGAAGGGGCCTTCCCACGCGGCCCGCCCTGCGCGGGGCGTCCGTGGCCTTCCGTGGCCTTAGCTTCCTCGTTGCGGCCCAGCGCTCCATTTCTCTCTCATTCCCGACTCCCGCTCCTCCAGGCTCCTTTGTCCCGTCTGCCCCTTGGCACCCCCAAAGACCCTGAGGCCGCTACCCTCCTTTCCTGCCGCCCCCCACCCCCAGCCCCTTCCCAGACGCCAACAAGCCGCCCTTCTCCCTCACCCAGATACCATCAGCAAAATGCCGGACGTCGAGGAGCGTGTGCCCCCGAAGGACCCTGGTGACTCAGCGGGCGGGTCCTGCAAGCCGGAAACCCCAGGACTCCCCCAGGAAGACAAGAGCGGCCCCGAGGACCCCCCTTCCTGTAGGTCCAGGTCGGCGGTCCTTGCGGCCCCTTCGGGGCTGCTTAGTGTGGGGAGTCCGCAGACCCCCCCGCCCCATTCCCCAGCTTTTCTCTCTTTCACCGTCCATCTCTTGTTTGTTCTTTTCTCCCCCACCCGCCTTTACTTATGGGCCCGGGGCCCCCTGTCGACCAGAGGTCTTCAAAGAGTGTTTGGTCCTGGAGAAAGAAGTGACCCAAGCGTGATTGCTTGAATCTGACGAGATTGGAGACTGAGTTGGTTCAAAGCCCTCCTTTGTATGGTATTTTGAATATGTAGGGGGCACTGGCAGATCTGGGGTTGATTTCACGAACGATCCCAGACAGGAATTGGGTTTTCTCAGCGCTTTGCTGACTCAAGAAGTGGGAGTGTCCTGGGCTGAGTCTCCAGCTCGGTTCTGTAGATGATGTTCTTTTGTACTCATGTTGGGGCACAAGGTCTCCTCCACGCTTCGTGGTAGGTACAGTCTCACTGGGACTCAGGCTTTATTTCTCTTAATCTCCAGAGAACGTGATTAGTCATCAAACTGAAGAGCTGTCCACATGCAACAACTTGAGCTAAAATTCTTGGCTATTGAAATGCGAGAAAGTTTGAAAGTCTGCGGCTGAGTTAGATTCGTTTCTCTTGTGGCCACAGGGGGTCGCTGCTGGTTAACAAAGCGGCGTATTGGGGGCATTTTCAACAGCTGTGAACCTTGGTGAAGGATGAAAAGTTTTTTTTTTTTTTTTTTGTAAATACAATTTAAGTTTTTGAGGTGTCTATTTAAGTGAATCCATATACAAAACAACTCTCAGTAGGATGAATAATCAAGTTTCTTTTTTAAAGAATTTGAAATTTTGTATATTAGGTTGACCTGGGTTACATTCCTTGAAAATGTCTTTGTCTTGGGGATCTGGGTTTTTAAAATCTATTTCAGTTAAATTTTATCTCTAATTTCGAGCTCTCCTCATTCCTGAATTTTAGAGCTGTGTTGGAGTTGCTTAGTGCTGTGTTACTTTTGAGCAACAGAACAGTCTTACCGAGGCAGGCTGTGAACTTTGATTTGTTGCAGTTGGAAAGTGTTTCTGTGTGTATTTCCTTCCATCCCTCAATAAGCTGTTGTAGCTCAATCCCCTTCTGAAGATTTTCTCTTAGCTCTCATTTAGCATGAGTGAATTAGCAGCGAATCTGTTTCCATATTTGATTGTGTTTTGCCATTTTGGCTGGAACTAAAGACTTCAAAGAGGCTGCAGAAATAAAGGGAACTTCAAGCATCCACTTAAGGTCCAGTTCGCCTTTATGTTGCCCTAAGCAAGGGACTCAGTGGGTTTCTGGTAAAGGTCTGCAATCCTCTTAACTTTTTATTTTGAAATATTCTAAATCTGCTGATGAAAAGTAAAAAATAATACAGTGAATGCCCACCTTGTAATATTCTGCCATATTGCTTTTTCTGTCTCCCTGTGTGTGTATTTCTCTCTCCCCCATTTAAAATTGCAACGTCATTAGTTAATTTTTGTTGTTGTTGGTTTTTGTTTGTTTGTTGTTTTTATGAGATGGAGTCTCACACTGTCGCCCAGGCAATGTCGTGTTTTCAGCTCACTGCAATCTTCATCTCCTGGGTTCAAGTGATTCTCCTGCCTCAGCCTCCTGAGTAGCTGGGTATGCCTGGCTAATAGTTGTATTTTTAGTAGGGGCGGGGTCGAGGCCAGGCTGGTCTCGAATTCCTGACCTCAGGTGATCTGCCTGCCTCAGCCTCCCAAAGTACTGGGATGGACTTCTTTTAATTTTTGTTTTTCGTGGGTTCATAGTGGGTATATATATTTATCAGGCATATGACGTATTTTGATACAGGCATATGATGTGTAATAATTACATCAGGGTAAATGCAGTATCCATCATCTTAAGCATTTATCCTTTGTGTTACAAACAATCCAACTATATTCTTTTAGTTATTTTAAAATGTGCAACTAAATTGTTGACTATAGTCAATCTGTTGTTCTATCAAATACTAGATCTTATTCTATTTTTTTGTACCCGTTAACCATCCGTGCTTCCGTGCAACCCCCCAACACCCTACCCAACTACCCTTCCCAGACTCTGGTTATTCATCATTCTATTCTCTGTATACCTGAGTTCAACTGTTTTAATTTTTAGCTCCCACAAGTAAGTGAGAACATGTGAAGTTTATCTTTCTGTGCCTGACTTAATTCACTTAACATAATGACCTCTGGTTCCATCCACGTTGTTGCAGATAACAGGATCCTGTGTTGGTTTTTTGTTTTGTTTTGTTTGTTTTGGCTGAATAGTACTCCATTGTGTATATCTACCATTTGTTGATGGACACAGGTTGCTTCCAGATCTTGGCTGTCATGAATAGTGCTGAAATAAATATGGGAGTGCAGATACCTCTTTGATAGATTAATTTCCTTTCTTTTGAGTACATACCCAGCAGTGGGATTTTTGGATCATACGGTAGCTCTATTTTTAGTTTTTTGAGGAACCTCCAAACTCTTCTCCATAGTGGTTGTGCTAATTTACATTCCCTCCAACAGTGTACGAGGGCTCCCTTTCCTCCGCATCCTCACCAGCATTTGCAATTGCCTGCGTTTTGGATAAAAGCCATTTGAGCTGTGGTGAGGTACAAAGTCATGACTTTACCTCTAAATATTTCATCATGTATCTAAGAGCAGGGGCTTTCTCTTATGTAACTTTCCTACAGTAACCTTATTTTTCCTTTTACGTTTCAAATATTTTTACGATAGAAAAATTACATGCATGAAATAGAGTGAGCCCCCATTTTTCCATCATCCAGCTTCAACAGTGATCAACTCATGGCCAATCTCTGTTCATCCATATCTCCTCCACATCTTGGAGCCAAATAATTTTCTGTGAAAAATCATGATGCTTCATCAAAAGAGAATGATAAAATATGATAAAATATTATTGATTGTTTTCATTTTATACACCAAGTAATCATTGTAACTACTATATATACCTATTAGGTGTGAATGCAACTTAGCAGTGGTAGCCAAATGCCTGTGCTAGTCTATGACAAAATTCTTAGCAATATTTAGTGAAATGAAATCATAAAGATATTGTAATGAGTTTTCCTAGCTAAATTAATTCGAATTTAAAGGACTGCTCTTTATTTTGACAATATTTCCTTTCTGGGTTTTTTTTTGGAGGTTAAACTATCTTTTCTTTGATGAGATGATGATTTTGGTGGTGGTAGATGGATTTTTATTTGCTTGTTTCAGTGTCCATAGTAGGCAAAATAAAAAGTTGGCAAAGTTGTTTTTAATTCCTTAAAATCTTTTTGGAAATTTTATTGGTCTATGAAATCCTAAAATCTGGGAGCTACCACTTTAGAAGACCAAATGACTTTGACACTATTCAGTAACATCCGAGTATTATCTCTAGGGAGAATTTAGCTTTCATCATGTGCAGCATCAGAGGCAGGAAAAGGAACATGGAATCTTAATACTTAGAGAAATGATTATTTTTGCAAATTTCAAATTATTGTTTCATTGCTGCTATAATTATGATTTTACCCTTAAGAGAAAAGTTTTTCATCTGTTTCACTTCCTGCATTTTATAAACTAGCTCTCTGTCCTACCTCCCCCCAATATTGGACTACTTATTCTGAAAGTTTCTAGCACTGTTGTGGGGCATAGAGTGCAGGAAACATAAGCCACTAGAATAGTTGGGTGAGTCTGTGTAAGACCAGTTTGACGAATCTAAATTTGAGGCCTACTAGATAGAGTGAATTTCTGAATAAAATAGAAATTCAGACTTGCATGGGTTCATCGTTGTCCACCATCAGTTCTTTCTGTCACAGGTCTGACAGAAACTGTTAATGAAGTTTCCAAGCTGAGCAGCGAGATTGGGATGAATCATGATTACATGGAAGAGAAGGTTTTACCTCCAAGCAGGTATAGACTCTTCTTCTTTCTCCATGTTACTCATTTGGGCATAGGTACTTAGCTCTAATGGCTTCAGATCGGACTTGAAGCATTTTTATTTAATAATCCAATCAGTATTTAAACTGAGCGGTCTCAACAACTGAAACAGAAGAGTAATAATAAGTTGTTAGTACCAAAGAAGATCAAGAAGCAAATGTTATTTAGCCAGCAAATAAACCAAAGCAGCATTTATTGGATTAGATAATGTGGATTTCAGATCCTTCTCTGACAAACTTGGAGGAAGCAGCCTGTAGTACTTACCTGTTGCTGCATAACAAATTGCCCCAAAATTTAGCAGCTTAAAATAACATTTCATTTTTTTCGTTTGGGGTGGGTTTTTTGGTTTTTGTTTGTTTGTTTGTTTATTTTGAGGCAGGGTCTCGCTCTGTTACCTAGGCAGGTATGTGGTGGCATGGTCATGGCTCACTGCAGGCTCTACCTTCTGGGCTCAAGTGATCCTCCTACCTCACTTTTTAATTTTAATTTTAATTTTTAGGATGGGGTCTCACTGTGTTGGCCAGGCTTGTCTCAAACTCCTGGGCTCAAGCAGTCTTCTCACCTCAGCCTCCCAAAGTGCTGAGATTACAAGCATGAGCCACTGTGCCCAGCAAAATAATATTCATTATGTCACAGTTTTTGTGGATGAGAGATACGGGCATGGTTTAACTGTATGCCTTGGGCTGAGAGTCTCTTATGGGTTGTAATCAGTCTGGTGAGTCTTGGCCAGAGGCTCCCTCAGTTTCTTGCCATGTGGACTTTTCTATAGGGCAGCTCTAAACATGGCAGCTGGCTTTCCTCCAAGGGAGAGAACAAGGTGTGTGTGAGAGATGGTACCCATGACAGAAACCAGTCTTTTTTACCTAATGTCAGAAGTGATATCCCATTGCTTCTGCTACATTCTGTTTGCTATAAATGAGTTATTAGACGCTCCCCACACTCAAGGAGAGGTTTCCACAAAGCTGTGAATACAGATGGCTCTTAAATCCGTGGGCTCTGCATCGGGCATTCAACCAACTGCAGATAGACAATATTAGAAACTAAAATTAAAAATAACACAACAATAAAAATAATACAAATTTAAAAAGCAATATAATATAACAATTATTTACGTAGCATTTACATTGAATTAGATATTTAAGTAATCTCGAGGTGATTTAAAGTTTATGGGTGGATATGTGTAGGTTATATGCATACTATACCATGTTGTATCAGGGACTCGAGCATCCATAGATTTCTGAGGGGGATCCTGGAACCAATCCCTCTTGGATATCATGGGATAACTGTATCAGGAAGCAGAGATCTTTGGGGCCGTCTTGTCAGCTGCCTACCATATAGCTCCTATCAGCTATCCTATTAAGTGGCTTCATACTAAATAGGCACAGATAAAGCTTTTCTGTTAGTGGAGTTTTGACTGTTGGGATTTTTTTCCCCCCAGGTTCGTAATTCAGCTTAATTTGTTTATCAAAATCTGAACTCTGTTGATAAAGAATGCTTTCTCACCCATACCAGGCTTTGTTTTTACTGTTCTTATAGTGACATTGTGGTAAAGAAGAACCATTCAGTAAGTATGAATTGAATTGACTCTGCTGGTTTATTGACAATAAGTGGGTAAATTTCAGTGTCAGATTTTATATTTTTAAACAATTCTTGGTCAGGCACAGTGGCTATTGCCTGTAATCTCAGCATTTTGGGAGGCTGAGATGGGAGGATCGCTTGAGGTCAAGGGTTTAAGACTAGCATGGGCAACATAGTGAAACCTTGTCTCTACAAAAAAAAAAAAAAAAAAATTAGCCATACGTGATGGTGCATGGCTGTAGTCCTAGTTACTGAGGAGACTGGGGTGGGAGGATCACCTGAGCCAGGGAGGTCAAGGCTGCAGTAAGCTGTGATCGTGCTACTGCACCACAGGCCAGGCAACAGAGCAAGACTCTGTCTCTAAAAAAATTTGCTTTAATATTCTATCACAAATGAGGCTGAAAAAAGAAATAAAAATTAAAAATAAATTTGTTCTAATTTCCCACCAAGAGACAAATAATGACAACTTGTGATTCATTTGCATTCCTTAAATGCTTTTGTCAGAAGGCCACTGCGGGGCGTCTGTTACTAACGGGCCTTTCTCCATCACATGTTGCTCCTCTGGTCTTCATGCTCCTTTGATCTGTTCTTGCCTGGTGTCAGCAAGTTTCCACGCTAGGCATAACTCTGAGAACAGGTTTTCACCAAACTCGGGTTTCCCAGCTGCTCTCTTGCTGTTTAGATATGTTTGTTGCTGACAGGGGAGGAGAGAAAATTGAAAATGGGAGAATAAGGTCTGTGATAGGGTGGTGGTGAGGGAGTTGCAGGTGCATGGGGGATAGAGGGGTATGGCAGGTAGAAGAAACGAGAGAGGAAAAAGTGAAGTGAGAGAAATAGTACTGTTCAGAGCTGGGTTTCCCAAGTATGGTGATATAAAAAATTACTTTGGAAAAAGGCTGAAATCATTTGAGGTGACTCATATTGGCAGTTGGCTTTACCTTAGGTTCATAGGATGATGTTAATTACAATTGTAGGTTCCTAAGGGAAATTCCATTCTCAGATATTCATTTACTAGCCATTTATTGAGTCCTTATTATGTTACAGGCAAAATCCTGGGGGCTAGGCATAGATACAGATAAGGCATTGTTTTTGCTATCAAGAAGCTTTTGTAGGGAAGACAGTTGAATAATAGAAAGTGATTGACTAGACCAATAAGTTCGCTTGTAGCTGTGCATATATAGAGTTTAATAGCAGCTGTTCAGCTACCTATGGAGAATCAGGGAAGATTTGCCTATGGAGGAAGATTCGGCCTATGAAGACTTGAGTCTTGGATGTTGAATAGGTGCTTTCCAGGTGGTCTTGGTGTGAAAGGTCGCAGCAGGTAGTGGAGATAACATGTCAGCGGCAGAGAAAGGTGGTAGAACATGATACATTCTTCACAAGCAGTTTTCTGTGGCTAAGCACAAGGTGTTACAAGGCCGAAGAAAATACATTGCAAAGAGAGGGCAGAGCAGTATGATATAAGGTAACATAAGTCGTTTATCTTGCTGGTGATGGGGGAGCCCCCAAAGGACTTTAAATGAAATGTCATGATCAAAGTGGCATCTTAGAAAAAGCATGACTTTTAGAATGAATTGGTGGCAGTGTGGAAATCAGATTATAAAGGAACAAGACTAGGGGCAGGGAGACTAGTTAACTGTAAGAGATGATGATGGGAGGGGGCCGGGGACAGTGGTTTATCTCTGTAATCCCAGCACTTTGGGAGGCCGAGGTGGGTGGATCACTTTCACTTGAAGCCAGGAGTTCAAGACCAGCCTGGCCAACATGGCAAAGCCCTGTCTTTACCAAAAAAAAAAAAAAAAATTTTTTTTTCTTTTTTGAGACAAAGTCTCATTCTGTCACCAAGCTGGAATGCAGTGGTGTGATCTGGGCTCACTGCAACCTCTGCCTTGGATGCAAGTGATTCTCCTGCCTCAGCCTACTGAGCAGCTGGGACTATAGGCATGCACAATCACATCCAGCTAATTTTTTGGTATTTTTTAGTAGAGATGGAGTTTCACCATGTTGGCCAGATTGGTCTCGATCGCCTGACCTCATGATTCACCCCCTAAAGTGCTAGGATTAAAGGCGTGAGCCACCGCACCTGGCCTACCAAAAATTTTTTTTTTAAATGAGCCAGGTGTGGTGGTGTGCACCTGTAAACCCAGCTGCTCAGGAGGCCTTTTGCAGAAAGTTATATTGTTGGAATCATACAATATGGACCCTGTTCCAATTAGTTGTTTCACTTAGTAATTTCATTTAAGTTTCCTTTATGTTTTTTTGTGGCTGGATGGCTCATTTTTTTCTTTTCTTTTCATTTCTTTCTTTCTTTCTTTTTTTTTTTTTTTTTTTTTGAGATGGAATCTCATTCTGTCACCTGGGCTATAGTGCAATGGCATGATCTCAGCTCATTGCAACCTCTGCCTCTCGGTTTCAAGTAATTCTCCTGACTCAGCCTCCTGAGTAACTGAGATTGCAGCCACATGCCACCACTAATTTTTGTATTTTTAGTAGAGATGGGGTTTTGCTATGTTGGCCAGGCTGATCTCGAACTCTTGGCCTCAGGTGATCCGCCTGCCTTGGCCTCCCAAAGTACTGGAATTACAGGCAGGAGCCACTGCCCCCAGCCTTTTTCTTTTGAAATGGAGTCTTGTTCTGTCACCCAGACTAAAGTGCAGTGGTGCAGTCTTGGCTCACTGCAACCTCCACCTCCTGGGTTCCAGCAATTCTCTTGTCTCAGCCTCCTGAGTAGCTAGGATTTCAGGCGTGCATCACCACGCTTGGTTAATTTTTGTGTTTTTTAGTAGAGATGGGGTTTTACCATGTTGGCCAGGCTGGTCTTGAACTCCTGACCTCAAGTGATCCACCTACCTCAGCCTCCCAAATCATTTCTTTTTATCATTGAATAATATTCCATTTTATGGACAGTTTATTTATCAGTTGAAGGACATTTGTGTTGCTTCTAGGTTTTGACTCTTATGAATAAAGCTGCTATAAACGTTTGTGTGCAGGTTTTTGTGTGAACATAAGCTTTCAACTCATTTTGGTATATACCCAGGGGCATGATAGCCAGATCATGTGTAAGAATATATTCAGTTTTGTAAGGAACTGCCCAGCTGCCTTTAACTGGCTGTACCACTTATATCTGACCAGCAGTAAATGTGAGTTCCTATTTCTCAACATCCTTGTCAGCAATTAGTGTTGTAAGTTTTCTGATTTTGACCATTCTAATAGGTGTCATATAGTGGTGTCTTTTTTCTTTTTGTTGTCTTAATTTGCAACTCCCAAATGACAAATGACCTTGAGGGTCTTCTCATACACTTATTTGCCACCTGTACATCCTTTTTGGTGAGATGTCTGTTAAGGTCTTTGGCCTATTTTTTAATGGATTGTTCATTTTCTTATTGTCAAATTTTAAGAGTTCTTTGTATATTTTGGATACATAGCCTTATCAGATATGTATTTCAAAGATTGTTTTCTAGTCTGTGGCTTGTTTTTTCATTCTCTTAACAGTGTCTTTCACAGAGCAGAAGTTTTTAATTTTAATGAGTCCAACTTAGCAATTTTTTTCCTTTGTGGATTATGTTTTTGGCATTGTATCTAAAAGGTAATCACCAAACTCAAGGTCACAGTTACCTAGATTTCCTCCTATGTTATCTTCTGCAAGTTTTACAGTTTTGTATTTTACAAGTAGGTCTGTGATCCATTTTGAGTTAACCTTTTGTGAAGGGTTAAGGCCTGCATTTAAGTTTTTTTTGTTTTTGTTTTTTTAATGTAGATATCTAGTTGTTTCAACATGATTTGTTGAAAAGCTCTTATTTCTAAATTGAATTGCCTTGGCTAGGTGCAGTGAGTGGCTCACAACTGTTATCTCAGCACTTTGGAAGGCTGAGGGAAGTAGATTGCTGAGCCCTGGAGTTCAAGACCAGCCTGAGCAACATAGTGAGACCCCCATCTCTACTAAAAATTAAAAAAAAAAAATAGCTGGCACCGTGGCTCATGTCTGTGGTCCCAGCTACTCTGGAGGCAGAGGCAAGAGGTTTGCTTGCACCTGGGAGGTTAAGGTTGCAGTGAGCCTTGAGTGTGCCATTGCATTTCAACCTGAGCAACAGAGTCAGACCTTGTCTCAAAAGATAAAACAAATTTCCTTTGCTCCTTTTTTTTTTCTTTTTTCAAGGTGGAAAAGAAAGACTGATCTTTCTGGCTTCCATTATTCGATAGATGGTAGTGCCACTGAAATTGGGAATACAAGAGGAGCAAGTTTGGAGGAGAAAGATAATGAATATGGTTTTAGACATGCTGATTTGGACATATCTGTGGACATTTGGTGTTTGCAAAGAAGGAATATCCTTTCCTAGATTTCAGGAGTATAAGAAAATGAAAGACCATTTAGCTCAATGCTTTGTATATACACAAATGGAAATCAAGTTATATGTCTAGGCTAGATGCGCAGTCAGCGGTAAAAGTCGACCTAACTTCTCTCCATTCAGGGTTCTTCCTATTGCAGGGGGAGGGCTGCTCTGGAACTACAAGGAGCCCTTCTGAGAGGTTTTACGATTGCCCTTGAAATACAAATCTAACCCTTGCTTGTTCAACTCTGCTGCAGTTCCAGCATAGTTCCTGGCCCTTCCCTGTTATTATAATGTTCTTTTACCATAGTAAACTCAGTTTGGGGTTTAGGAGGTTGTGACACTGTAACCGTTTTGGGATTGAGACAATAATCTGCTCATTTAACCCTCTTATAGTCTGGAAGGCAAGGTCAAGGAGACAATGCACAATGCCTTTTGGGACCATCTTAAAGAGCAACTATCAGCAACTCCCCCTGACTTCAGTTGTGCTCTTGAACTTCTGAAAGAAATTAAAGAGGTGAGTGACTGACCTTCCATTTGTAAATGTAAAGTTTCTAGACATCTCCAGCTCATTAGAATGTCAGTAGCTAGCAAATCTCAACTGAACATGGTCCATGAATCAGTCAGAGACTAAGCAATAAACAGAAATCGCACAGTAATTTCAGCAGGGAGGGTTTAATATAAAATTATTATAACAGGGAACAGGAGAAATGAGGAGTTGGCTACTAAGAGTAAAGAGAACTAAGCATTATTGAACATCATATATAAAGGGCATCTGTCATACCCCTACGGCTGAGAGAGGCCAGCCAAGGACCCCATTTGAGAAGGCATATCTATTCCATGAGAAGTTGTTGACCTGCGTATGCTGCTGACCACCGTACACAGCTGGAGCCAGGCACTGGAGGAGCTATTCATGCTGCAGGAGCCGTGTACTGCAGAAGCCTGCTGAGTGAGCATGCCAGAACCAGGAAGAAAAGCTCTTGCCTTTTACAATGTCTTTGTAGTATGTGGCAGACATACCAGATCACAATGTTCTGCACCCTTGTATAATCTTCTCCCCTTGAGTGGATGAGATTTGCAACTTCTAACCAATATGGCAGAAGTGATGGTGTATCACTCCCATGGTTACATTTCATCATGTAATACTCTGTCTTAGGAGACTGGAGGGAGAGATTCTCCTGCTGGGCCTGAAGAAGCAAACAGCTGTGTTGTGAACTGCCTACCGAGAGGGCCACATAGCAAGGCACTGCAGGTGGCTTTTAGGATCTGGAGTTAGCATCCAAACAACAGCCAGTAAGAAGCTGGGACCCTCAAGTGTACAGTTGTGAGGAAATGAATTCTGCCAACAATCTGAATGAGCTTGGAAACAGAATCTTCCCAGTCATGTTTACAAATGAGAATGCAGCCCAGCTAACACTTTGCTTGCAGGCTTGTGAGACCCTGAACAGAAGACCCAGCTAAACTGCGTCTATACTTCTGACCCACAGAAACTGAGATAATAAATGTATGTGTTGTTATAAGCTGCTAGGATTATGGCAATATGTTAGACAGCACGAAACACTAAGTAACACCTTCTACTGATGAAGCTTAAAATGTGTCATCTGGAAAAGGAAAGATATGGAAAGGACTTAGCTCCATTTTCACAGAGCAGAGGAAAGAACAATGGATTAGGATCTGTGAGGCAATATATTGATAGATGGCATGTTCCACCCCTATAGCTGCTCAACTTCTACCTGCACTCTTCTATACACATTTGAATTCCTGAAAAGAACTCTTACAAGACAGCTAGCTATTTATTATTTATCTTCTCCCCAACTGAGGAGACATGGCCGAAATAGTTACTGTATCCATCACTCAAATTCAGCCAGTTTCACTGAATGTTCTGTTACCTAAAGGCTAAATCATAAAGTTAACTTCTAACAACTTGTATATAAAATATCGATGGAAAGAAGGAGGAAGAACAAAATGTTGGCCTATACAAATAAACATACGTATAGTAAGCAAAGATAAAATTTATAGTTCTGTTTCCATAACTGCTTACAAGGCTATAGTTGATATCTATGGCTTCCTTCTTCCACTATTCATTCATCCCTTATTTCCCTTGTCCTTGGCCAGAACTTCAGCTGGTCGGGGTTCTTTATCTGGTACAGTGACCCAAACCTTCATTGCTGAAGAGCCTGAGACATTTACTTTCTGCCAAGGCCCAAGAAACTGTTTCTCAAAAGGCAAATAATTATCAGTAAAGAAGGGATAGATTTGCTTCCAATTACTAAAGGTCCATGTGTGGTTCTCTTATTGGTGCTGTACAGCACCCTTATTTGCTATGGACACTTAAAGTGTCATTGGATCTGCAGGATCATAAGGCCCAAATAGTAGAGTGGCTTGTACTACAGTCTAAACTTGCTGCAGAGCCTGCTCTCGCTCTAGTTTGTTAGCACCGCCCCCCACCCTGCAACATATGGGTAAACTTGAGTGATTCTAATTAAATCAAAATCACTCAAATGAATGTGAAAGTAACAAACACAAATGTGGTGTATATTGCCTCAAAAATCCAAAAAGGGGCTGGCTGTAGTGGCTCAGGCCTGTAATTCTAGCACTTTGAGAGGCCAATAGGTGTTATAAGTTGCTTGAGCCCAGGAGTTTAAGACCAGCAGGGACAATACAGTGAGACCGACCCCCATTTCTAGAAAAAAAAAAAAAATCTTTTTTTTTTTTTTTTTTTTTTTGAGACGGAGTCTCACTGTGTCACCAGGCTGGGTACAGTAGCATGAACTCAGCTCACTGCAACCTCCACCTCCCGGGTTTAAGTGATTCTCTTGCCTCAGGCTCCCCAGTAGCTGGGACTACAGGCACCCACCACCATGCCTGGCTAATTTTAAGTAGAGACGGGGTTTCACCATGTTGGCCAGGATGGTCTCAATCTCCTGACCTCATGATCCGCCTGCCTTGGCTTCCCAAAGTGCTGGGATTACAAGCATGAGCCACTGTGCCCGGCTGAAAAACAATCTTTTTAACTAGCTGCAGATGGTGGTCATGTCTATAGTCCCAACTCCTTGGGAGGCTGAGGTAGGAGGATCACTTGAGCCCAGATGGTGGCGGCTGCAGTGAGCTGTGATCATGTTGCTACACTCCATCCTGGGCAACAGAGCGAGACCCTGTCTCAAAAAAATCCAAAAAGTAGCCGGGCGCGGTGGCTCACGCCTTTAATCCCAGCACTTTGGGAGGCTGAGGCGGGTGGATCACGAGGTCAAGAGATCGAGACCATCCTGGTCAACATGGTGAAACCTCGTCTCTACTAAAAATACAAAAAATTAGCTGGGCATGGTGGTGCGTGCCTGTAATCCCAGCTACTCAGGAGGCTGAAGCAGGAGAATTGCCTGAACCCAGGAGGCAGAGGTTGTGGTGAGCCGAGATTGCGCCATTGCACTCCAGCCTGGGTAACAAGAGCGAGACTCTGTCTCAAAAAAAAAAAAAAAAAAAAAATCCAAAAAGTAGAACCAGGTGTAGTGGCTAATGACTGTAATCCCAGCACTTGGGGAGGGGAGGCCAAGATTGGAGGATAGCTTGAGGCCAGGAATTTGAGGCCAGCCTGGCAACATAGTGAGATCCCATCTCTACAGCAAAAAAAAAAAAAAAAAGAAAGAAAGAAAACTGAGCTGGATATGGTGACATGTGCCTGTAGTTCTAGCTTACTCAGGAGGCTGAGGTGAGAGGATCACTTCGGCTCAGGAGTTGGAGGCCATCATCATGCCACTGCACTCCAGCTTGGGCAACAGAGCAAGACTCTTTCTCAAAAAAAAAAAATTCCAAAGACCTAAGTGTTATGCCTTTTTTAAAAATGGTGAGTGGCTCAGGTACAGCAATTTGCCTTTCACCCTAGAGGGGATCATTTGAAAAGCTCCTGACCACTGAAACTCTAGAAACTTTACTGAGGCGACAGGCCCCTGAATTTTTGTGGTAATCATCTGCTATCCCTAAGTTTGCATGTGTTTCTAAGGCATCTAAAGTAGTTGATACTTCCTGGTCATCAGATCCAGTGGACATATGACTATCTGAGTTCAAACTTCATTCATGGTACCAACTTTTTATCAGTCAGAGTCCAGTCAAGAGACAGAAACCATGCAATAATTTGAACAAAGAGAAGCTTCCACAGTGCAGGAGCTTGCTGAGAGGAGTATACCAGAGCCAGAAAGGAAGGCCCTTTTCTTTTGCAGTTTCTTTTTAACACCCTCTTTTGACAAAATCTAACATTATGCCAGCTAGCAAAGGAAAAATAATTTAAGGGCCCAGCTCCATTTTTGCAGAGTAGGCACTGAAGAGTAGATTTGGAGCTGAGAGGCTCTGAACTGGTAAATGGCAGAGCTTGGCAATTAAAATAGATAGTATGGAACAGCTTTGATTTTATTTGTTTAACATGAGGGTAAACAGTTGAGATCTCGCTTTGGCAACACCCATATCCTATTCAATTAAATATTCATTGAACCCTATTCCCTAGGCCCCCATCATGTCCTATGTGTTACAGAAGCACAGGGATGAATAAGAGCCCCTCTTCACCAGTAACTTATTTTTGGGGTTAATAGGCTATTTCAGTGACTTGAAACAGCTCCTATGCCTATTTCTTCCTTGCCCTTTGAATTAAAATATAAAAAATGCCTACATTTTAAAGTTAAGAGACTTCATCACTCTGTGATGGTGGGTATTTTATATTTATCGTACCCTATATGTCTTTTTAACACACTCCTTGATTTTATTCATCTCTGTATCTCATTCTCCCTAGAAAGTCATATTCCTTTAATTCCTGTAATCGATCCCCTTAAGCCTTGAGTTATCATTGGCCTCTAAACAAAGATAAATAACATTCCATGGAAAATACAGAGCTCCAACTTCTTGATCCTTAAAAAACATAGGCTGGTATGTCTTTAAAGGGGTTGCCCATTGGGTAAAGTTTGGGGCTCTAAACAGATCAACTCCTTTGACTTTCTTTCCTGGGCAGATCTTGCTATCACTGCTATTGCCACGCCAGAACCGCCTAAGAATTGAGATTGAAGAAACTCTGGACATGGACTTGCTCAAGGAGGAAGCAAAACACGGGGCCCTGAAAATCCCCTCTCTCTCTAAGTATGTTCTCAACATGATGGCTTTGCTCTGTGCACCAGTTCGAGATGAAGCGGTGCAGAAACTAGAAAGCATTACGGATCCTGTTTGGCTACTGAGGTATGAAACTTGGTACTGCCCCCAAAAATCTGCTTTAGCCCTTGAGCTGGGAAAAGGTGGGCCAGACCTAGATTATAGCCATTATCTTGACCAACTCTTCCCCTGCGAAAGACCTGACTAAGAATCCTTTTCTCTTTTCTGGTCAATTAACTCTTCTTTTCCAAAGACGGCTCCGTAGACCTTAGCTTGATTGATTGGGCCTCCCTCTATAATGCCATAAGACACTACAGTACATACTTCTTTCTTCTAAGAAGTTGAAATATCCCTTTCCCAGGTTTTTCTTTCTTTCTTTCTTTTTTTTTTTTTTTGTTGTTGTTGTTGTTGAGACAGAATTTCGCTTTTGTTGCCCAGGCGGGGAGATCAGTGACAAAATTTTGGCTCATCGCACCCTCTACCTCCTGGGTTCAGGTGATTCTCCTGCCTCAGCCTCCCAAGTAGCTAGGATTACAGGCACTCACCACCACGCCTGGCTAACTTTCGTATTTTTAGTAGAGACAGGGTTTCATCATATTGGCCAGGCTGGTCTCAACCTCCTGACCTCAGGTGATTCACCTTCCCCAGCCTCCCAAAGTGCTAGGATTATAGGTGTGAGCCACCACACCCAGCCCTTTCCTAGATTTTCTCTTCTTCTAGTTTACACGCTATGAGGAGCCAGTGATGGGTGGTCATCCCTATTTCACAGCTCTAGGAACCAAGACCCAGAAAGTTAAAAAAAAAAAAAAAAAAAAAAATTGGCCCAGTGAGTCAGAAATAGCATTACTTATAATCTTCTATAATCCTATAAGAAAATTATTAGCATGATGATGTATTTCTTTCCACTGACTACCCTTTTTAAGAGACAACAGAATGACCATAGTGAAGATCTAGATTGAAGGCTTCAAGGTCCAGAGACTTAACTGTTCCCAATTCTGCCACTAACTCACCTTGGGTATTGGGTCCTGGGCCACATGTTATCTTCTGAAAATGTAGGAGGTAGGACTAAGTTACTCTTAAGCCCCCTCCTAACTCTAAAATACAGTGATTTAATGACTCCTTGGCTGCGTTTCCAGCTTACTAGGTTCCATTTAATATAAATATTCTCTTTCCTCCTGTGTCAGAGGGATCTTCCAGGTTCTGGGCCTGATGAAAATGGACATGGTGAACTACACTATCCAGAGCCTTCAACCCCACCTGCAGGAACACTCCATTCAGTATGAACGGGCTAAATTCCAGGAACTCCTCAATAAGCAGCCTAGTATGTATCTAATGTGAGGCCAGGAGTGGGAAAGATATTACCTTGGGTCTGACTTTTATAATGTTAGAGAGTACTCTGTCTCTTTCTGGGACTAGAAAGTTTCTCTTTAGGTGAGAGGAGGGAGAAGGAACATTTATCTAAGACAGAAAGACCCTCAAAGCACTTATTTATTGACCAGGAATATCTTGAAAAGAACCTTGGTTTTGAAGCCTCATAGATGAAGATGCTAAAGATGCTTACACACTCCCTTCCCTGTCATAGGCCTCCTTAATCACACCACCAAATGGCTGACCCAAGCAGCAGCAGAACTTACCACGTCACCTCCGACTTGCCCAGACACTTCTGACTCCTCCAGTGTGGCCGGCCCCTCTCCTAACGAGGCCAAAAACCCAGAGCCTCTCAGCCCCACAATGGTGCTGTCTCAGGGTTTCCTGAACCTCCTTCTCTGGGACCCTGAAAATGAAGAGTTCCCTGAGGTAGGAATGTCTGGGGGAATTGCCTTGTTTTGTATTCAGGGCTTCCATCAGGACCTCCCCTGACAGTCTGTTCTTCCCTGGTTCCAGACCCTGCTGATGGACAGAACCCGGCTGCAGGAGCTGGAGTCCCAGTTGCACCAGTTAACCATCATGGCCTCAGTCTTGCTGGTGGCCAGTAGTTTTTCTGGCAGTGTTTTGTTTGGCTCACCCCAGTTTGTGGATAAACTGAAACGCATAACCAAATCCCTGTTGGAAGACTTTCACTCCAGGTAAGCTGCATAGTTCTTTTTTAGAGTGGAAGGTGATGTGTGGTATTTAAAACATAGACAGGTAATGAATGATTGCTTACTGTCTACCACAAACCACAGAAAGGCCGTTTGGAACCATCTACAGAGATTGTTCGTTTTTTTCCATAAGTGGTCATGAGGCTTGTGACAAAGGAAAAACTTTCTTCCAAAAAAGGTAGCGTGGAAGATAGTTTGCTGCAAGAGGGCCATTATCTAGTTGAGTGGTAACAGTGGGCTGGTATCATCGCATATATCCAGGACTTGGTCAGTTGCTCAGCAATACTGATTGAATATCCCACTGTGTGCAGGCCATCACACCAGAGGAAAAGGAGGAATCAGAAGGCCAGGTTTGTAGTTATATATGATGAGGTAGGACACATGATCCTGGAAAATGCCCAATAAAGTCTTAAACATGTATATGTAAAAACAAAGTCCATGGAACTAAGGAATGATGAGTGGATTCAAGAATACAGCTAAACACTTTTCCAGAGTTGATTTTATAGTTTGCTTTGTTTGCTAAGAAGTAGAACATGGTACCACACATAGAGAATAGCTGGTGTCTTGAGGGTTACAGTGAGGATATTGTACCTTCCCACTGGACCCTGCAGCCTGCCAGGGGCTGGGATTTGGAGGTGGAGAGGATGACTGACATTCTCCCTCAGGTGGGCCTGGCATCTGGTGTAGAGCATGCTGGGCTCTGGGCCTATGCCAGGGTTACCAGGTGGGTGCCAGCTTACTTTCTTTCATGTTCAGGCCCGAGGAAGCTATACTGTCTGTGAGTGAACAGGTGTCTCAGGAAATCCATCAAAGCCTCAGGAATATGGGCCTTGCTGCTCTAAGCAGTGACAATGCAACATCTCTGATGGGACAGCTACAGAACATTGCCAGGAAGGAGAACTGTGTCCGCAGTGTCATTGGTGAGTATGCTTGTGGGGTAGTGAGAATGGTGAGGGGAGAGAGAGATCCTGACCATAGAACCCCAACCTTTAATAACAGGAAGCATGGTCATTCAGTATGTCACTGTTTAGCCTTGAGTTTTTTCAAAATGCTGGGTTGAAGTCATATCCAAATCAGTTTAAAGACTGACCATGGTTCTAAGGATGATTTGCACCCAGAAATTCATGACTTCTAGGCGTGGAATCCAGCTGACCTTGTTAAGTCATTTGGGCCTTCAGGTCATTTTCTGGCTGCACCAGGAAATCTGACATTTCCCACATCTCCCAACAAGAAACTAATGGTGAATTTGGCTGGAAGACATGTTCCTGTAGTAGGGACTCCCCAGGAGTGGAGGCCATGAACTTGGCTAGCTTGATCCTACCTTAGCCATCTGAAGGATCAGTCTAAGATCCTCCTGTTACGTCACTCACTAGGATCTAACTGATGGATACTTAAACAATCTTTTGGGCTGGGTGTAATGGCTCACGTCTGTAATCCAAGCACTTTGGAGGCCAAGGCGGGCGGATCACCTGAGGTTGGGAGTTCAAGACCAGCCTGACCAACATGGTGAAACCCCGTCTTAAAAAAAAAAAAAAAGATCTTTTGAATAGTCTGGAATTTACTGACACACTAGTTTTTGATATTTGTCCTTGAGAGCAAGATAGCAACCCCCTTTCCAAACAAAACAAACTTCCTTATCTATAGGTAAGTGGGCAGGTTGGTGCATATCTGTTAACTTAGAACCTGAGTGAGTAGAGTGCAGGAGAAATGTTTCTTCCTGAAATCTGTTTGCTTTTTCCCTTTTCACTGTCTTTTCCTGCTCACAGATCAGCGGATCCATTTGTTTCTCAAATGCTGTTTGGTTCTTGGTGTGCAGCGGTCTCTGTTAGACCTCCCTGGAGGCCTTACTCTCATTGAAGCAGAACTGGCAGAACTGGGCCAAAAGTTTATCAACTTGACACATCACAATCAGGAGGTGTTTGGTCCCTACTACACTGAGATCCTCAAAACTCTCATTTCCCCAGCCCAGGCACTGGAAACAAAGGTGGAGTCTGTCTGATAGCGTGGGCTCAGAGCCCTGGTACCTTGGATCCAAGAGGCCCATCATCTTCGTAGGGTAGCATCACCAGTGACCAGCAGACAGTGAGGTTGTATCCCAGCCCTTGCAGCTAGTATAGGGATCAAGCATGTAAACACCAACTGGCCCAAAACCATTCGCTAATAAACTTCTGAAGTGTCAAAAATCCTCCCATTTTTCCTGTGCTGCAGCTGAGGCCAAGCCCTGTGACTTCAGCCCTCAGCTAGCTGAGAAGCCATCAATCCCTCAGTTTCCCCCTCTCTGGCTGTGTGAACTTTTCAACATAACAAAGCTGAGCAGCCAAGACACCCAGGTGCTAGCATTATTTTCTTTAAGGGTAAAGCATTATTCGGGGGGCCCTGAGAACTCTGGAATTATCCAAATCGTGACTATGAGGGCTTCTTTGGAAGCCTTTGTTTTGTCCAGTTCACCTTAGGAGAGGATGTGGTTTAGGGAAGTGAGCTCAAAAGGTTTCAAAGGATGCAACAAGAAGTCAAGGAATACTAAGAGCCTCAGTTCCCTTAGTCTCAGTTCCCATGGTCTGAAGCAGTTTGCAAACCTGAGGCTGGATGAAAATGGGTATTAGCTACAAGCAAGCATTCTGTTGAGGACAATTTCAGCATTCATGGGAGCTCTCTCTCAAGTTATCCAGAGTTCAGACTTGGACAGTTAGGTTTGTGACTGACTTGGATCAAATTTATTCCTGGTCCTGTTCTCTAGCCCAGTAAGTCTCCTTTCCCTCAACTCTAAGCCTAGAACACCCGGTTCTTCCAGACAGAGGTAATGTGGGCATTCAGAGGTGGAGCAGCCTCCATTCTGGGCAGTTGTAGTTGTAAGCTCTTGTTAGCATTACAAATGAGAGACATTCTAGGAAGGATTTGGGCTTGTCTCCTGAGATTGTAGAGACCAGCTCATCATTTTCAGGCCGACTGCAGCAGACAAGCTCCAGCCTAGTGTGGCTGAAATGAGGAAAATACTCAATTCAGATTTAGAAAATGGAAATTCAGTTATGTGTTTGCAAGGCAAGGTGAAGAAAAACAATGTTCTCATCATTTCAGGTGATGGAAGTTGCTGACTGTTACACACCTAATCTAGGAAGAACAACAGGAGGGGGATTTGAGTTCCATTAGGCCCAGGGTTTCCTTCTAATTGATTTCCTTTTTTAAGAGGGTAGATCCTAGGTGGGTGACAGAGCTAGGTCAACACAATGTGACTTATACTATGACCAGAAAAGTTGGAGGGCCTGGATCATTCACATTTTCCAGTCATAACTAGACAGCTTCAGGATGAGGAAGCCCAAGGGGTATGTTTAATAAACAGTGAGGCTTACCCAATTGGATTCTCTGATTTGCAACAATTTTTTAAAAATCCACATTTTGGCCGGGCGCGGTGGCTCAAGCCTGTAATCCCAGCACTTTGGGAGGCCGAGGCGGGTGGCTCACAAGGTCAAGAGATCGAGACCATCCTGGTCAACATGGTGAAACCCCGTCTCTACTAAAAATACAAAAAAATTAGCTGGGCATGGTGGCGAGTGCCTGTAATCCCAGCTACTCAGGAGGCTGAGGCAGGAGAATTGCCTGAACCCAGGAGGCGGAGGTTGCGGTGAGCCGAGATCGCGCCATTGCACTCCAGCCTGGGTAACAAGAGCGAAACTCCGTCTCAAAAAAAAAAAAAAAAAAAAATCCACATTTTGGAAGCCTCATTATTTTATAGGCAAAAAGGATTCCAGGAAAGAAGATTGTCTGGTTGGTGGTTGCAGACCCTGAACTGCCAATAGAACCTCACTTTGTACTTTACCATTAAAATTGGGAATCATCAATACATTAGAAAATTTGAATTTATTTTCTTATTCTTTCTCATGGAGGAGACAGGGATCTTGTCCCTAAGCAAGGAAAGATAGCTGCACTCAATCCTGCCCACTGGTTTGAGGGAATTTTAAACAATTAATGTATATTCATATTTCAAATTGTGGAGAAAATACACGTAATATGAAAGTTATCATTAGTGACATTGAGTACACTCAGAATGTTGTATAACCATCATGACTGACTGGTTCCAGAACATTTTCATCACCACCAAAGGAAATCCCATTCCAGTAACCAGTAACCAGCCCATTTTCCCCTCTCTCTCGCTGATGGCAACCGTTAATCTGTCTGTCTTAATGGGCTTTCTGACTGAATATTTCCTGTAGATGGAATCATATAATATGTAGCTTTTTGTGACTGGCTTATTTCACTCGTTTTTCAAGATTCATTAGTGTTCTAGCATGTATTGGTACTTCATTCCTTTTTATGGCTAAATAATCTGTCATGTGAATATACCACATTTTACTTATCTACTCATCAGTCAGTGCGTATTACTTCAGCCCTAGCTGAGAAGCCAGCAAGCCCTCAGTTTTCCCTTCTCTGCCTATGTGTACCTTTCAACATATAATGCTGAATATTTTGGCTTTTATAAATAATGCCACAGTGAATACTTGGCATTACTTACAAAACTCATATGTAAGTTTTTGTTTGAACACCTGTCTTTTGTGCTTTTGAGTGTCTACCCATATATCCAGGAATAGAATTGCCGAGTTTTATGATAATCTCTGCTAAATTTATTGGGAAACGATGATTTCGAGTTAGTATTTGTATACAGTGTAAGGAACAGGTCCAACTTTATTCTTTTGCATGTGGATATCCAGTTTTCCTAGCATTATTTGTTGAAGAGACTCCTTTTCCTATTGAATGCTCTTGGTCTTTGATTCTTGTCAAAAATTGATTGACCATACATGAAGGGTTTATTTCTGAACTCTATTTTATTCCATTGGTCTGTATGTTTAGCCTTATGCCAGTAACACATTGTTTTGGTTACTGTAGCTTTGTAGTAAGTTTGGAAATTAGGAAGTATAAGTTCTCCAACTAGGCTGTATTTCAAGATGACGTGGCTGTCCCCTTCATTTCTGTAAGAATTTTAGTATCCCATTTGTGTAAGAAAGGAAGTTGGAATTTTTGATAGGGGATATATATATATATATATATATATATATATATATATATATCACATGTGTGCACACACACACGTGCATATATATATGCACATGCGTGCACACACACACGCACACACACACGCACATTTCTTACTCTGTTGCCCAGGCTGGAGTGCAGTAGCATTCTGCCTCCTGAGTTCAAGCAATTCTCCTGCCTCGGCCTCCTGAGTAGTTGGGATTACAGGCACCCACCACCATGCCCAGCTAATTTTTTTACTTTTAATAGAGATGTGGTTTCCCCATGTTGGCGAGGCTGATCTCGAACTCCTGACCTCAAGTGATAGCCTACCTCAGCATTCCAAAGTGCTGGGATTACAGATGTGAGCCACCACACCTGGCCTTGATAGGGATTATATTGAACTTTTAGGTCAGTTTGGGGAGTATTGCCATCTTGTCTGCCCATCCATAAACACAGAATGTCTTTTCCTTTTGTTAGGTCTTTAGTTTCTTTCAGCAACATTTTATAGTTTTCAGTGTATAAGCCTTGCACTTTCTTGGTTAAATTTATTCCTAAGTATTTCATTCATTTGGATGTAATTGTTAATAGAATTGTTTTTCTTAATTTCCTTTTTATATTGTGCATTGGCAGTGTATAGAAAGAAAACCAATGTGTTTATTGATCTTGTACCCTGCAACTTCACTGAGTTTATATATTGAATACTCTGTGTGTGTGAATTCTTTAGTATTTCTTATGTATAAGATCATGTCATCTGAGAATAGAAATCGTTTTGGATCTTTGTTTCCCAGTTTTGATCCATTTTATTTATCTTGCCTAATTCCTCTGGCTAGAACTTCCAGTACAATGTCTAAAGATAATGATAAAAACACTTGTCTAATATCGTCATCTTGAAGAGAAAGCTTTCAGTCATTCACTGCTGAGTATACAGTTAAGCTGTGGATTTTACATAAATACCTTTTATTGTGTTAAGGAAGTTGCCTTCTATTACTAGTTTGCTCAGTTTTTTTGTTTTTTGGGTTTTTTTTTTTTTTTTTTTTTTTTTTGGTCATGAAACAGTATTGAGTTTTTTTGTCTAATTAATTTTGGAGATAGGGCCTTGCTCTGTCACCCAGGCTGGAGTACAGTGGGGTGACCATGGCTTACTGCAGCCTTGACCTCCTGCCCTCAGGCAATCCTCCTGCCTCAGCCTTTTGAGTAGCTGGGTCTACAGGTGTGTGCCATCACGCCTGGCTCATTTTTGTATCTTTTATAGAGATGAGATCTCACTATGTGGCCCAGGCTGGTCTCAAACCTTTGGTCCCAAGAAGTCCTCCCATCTTGTTTTCCCAAAGTTTGGGATTATAGGCATCAGCCACCACACTTGGCCTTGAATTTTGTCAAATGCTTTTTCTGCATCGGTTGAGCTGATCATATGCTTTACTTTTTTCATTCTATTAATGACATATTATGTTGTTTGATTTTCTTATTGAATCAACATTGCATTCATGGGATAAGTCCCATTTGATCATGGTGTATAATCCTTTTAATACGCTGTTGATTTCAGTTTGCTAGTGCTTTGTTGAGGATTTTTGCATCTGTACTCTTAAGGGATATTGGTCTGTTTTCTTGTGGTGTCTTTGTCTGGCTTTGGAATCAGGGTAATGCTGGCCTCTTCTATTTTCTTTCTTTCTTTCTTTCTTTTTTTTTGGAAGAGTTTGAGAAAGATTGGTGTTAATTCGTTAAACGAGTGGTAGAATTCACCAGTGAAGCCATGTAGTACTGAACTTTTCTTTGTTGGGAAGTTTTGATTATCAAACTCTTTACTTGTTGTAGACCTATTTATTTAGATTCTCTTTTTCTTCCTGAATCCATTTTGGTAATTGATATTCCTAGAGCTTTGTCCATTTTATCTAGATTATCTAAATTTTACATATGATTGTTCATAGTTTACTCTTATAATCCTTTTTGTTTCTGTAAAGTTGGTAGTAATTTCCCCACTTTTATTTCTGATTTTTTTTTTTTTTTTTTTTTTTTGAGACGGAGTTTTGCTTTTGTTACCCAGGCTGGAGTGCAATGGCGCGATCTCAGCTCACCGCAACCTCCGCCTCCTGGGTTCAAGCAATTCTCCTGCCTCAGCCTCCTGAGTAGCTGGGATTACAGGCAAGCGCCACCATGCCCAGCTAATTTTTTGTATTTT